CTAAATATCTTCAATAAATTTTTTAAATTTTAAACATTTATACATTTTTAAAACACAATATGAGAGGCCATAGCAGAGGCATAACAAATGTGCTAAGGAGAAGGCCACCTCTGAGGGGAGAGCAGGTGGGCCTCAATGCCATTTTCAGCTCTTGCATAATCTAGCTACTTTACAATGTTTAATAAAAAGTTCAAAAGGCCAAATAGTGCAATCAGACTTGTCATGAAAAAAGACAGTTTGTCAGCTTCCCTTTCCTCAGCCTTCAGTAGATGTTTCCACCAGATATAAAGTGATCTTATAAGGTTTCAAAAGGGAAAAAAAATGACAAGCAAAAGAAATCAAAATGATACTAGACTTCTCAACAGCAAGGTGGGAATTAGAAGACAATGTAGCAATGATTTGAACATTTCGAGGGGAATGATTTTAAATGTAGACTGTTACACATAACACCTCAGCAGTTCCTACCAAGAGATATTGTCACTGTGATGTTCCTGGGTTCCAGGGATTGAGATGTCTATCATGCTAAAACTTTTTGGCGTAAAGCCCTTTTTCAAGGAGCTGACTGTGATATAAAAGTCAGTTCAGGGAACAGCCCAGTGGCATAGTGGTTAAGTTCGTGTGCTCCGCTTTGGCAGCCTGGGGTTCGCAGGTTTGGATCCTGGGCAAGGATCTACACACTGCTCATGAAGCTATGCTATGGCAGCATCACAAATACACAATAGAGGAAGATTGACAATAGGTGTTAGCTCAGGGCCAATCTTCCTCACCAAAAAAAAGGTTCAGAGTTCATCTTTTAGTGTAAATTTATAAGGATTCATAAATTAAACACTAAGCATTTTCTAATACTCCTGATTCTACTTGCAGTAGGTTTTTTTTATTTACTGGTATATGTGCTGTTTCCTCCTTAGCACACTCAGAATGACTCTGGGCTTTGTTCTCCCAGTTAATCTGGTAGGGGATGTTCTTCTCTGTAATGACTCATGACATGATTTGTAATAACAGATCCAAGACTAAAATCCACATCTCTAGACTTAAAATTTTGAAGGTAGTACACTAAATGTTCTCATTATTAGATATATAACAAAAACTGGAAACGCTCATGGGGTGTCGCTAGGCATTATGTACAAAGTTAAACTAAAGAACTAGTAGGGAGCTGAAGTATTATTATATGATTAATAGTACTATCTTAATAGATACTCTGCCCTAGAGAAACTCTGTTAGCAATGTTGTCTGTTTCTGAATGCCTAAAGGGCAGACAAGTTATGTCAAAATATGTAACTTCCATTTTGAGTTACGTCCTTAACTTTATCTTTCTCTATTACTACAGAAGGAAATATCCTAACAGGAGATTCTATACTCTTCTTCAAATTATGTTTTTAAATGTTATTTTTAAAAATTTCAAAGCCTATTAGGTGAATTTCTTTCAATTTATTAGCAACTTAATAAAAAATCTACACACATCCCACTTATATGAAGTAAAAGTATTTTGATATCTTTGACACTTTAAAAAACTTTATAATTTTTAAAATCTAGTAAGAGGCATCACTAGTATATTTTAATGTTCTTTTCTAATCTCTCCAATTCAGGATAATTTGGAATATAATTGCTTTAGCAATGCTTTTTAAAGCTGTAGATGTCCTACCTCTACCTTTCTCCCAGAGAGCCAAGTCTAGTTCTACACAATTGAGAAACTCAAGAACAAGCACAGGTAGGTAAGAAAAGTCACCCCCATTAAAATGTAAACAATCTTGAATGTCCATCAGCTAGGGAATAGATAAGTAATGGGTTTAATCATAAAATGGAATATCATAGTGCAGCTAAAATGAATCATCTCAGGCTACATTTATC